CGGACGTACCAACTCGCTGATTAAGGCATGACCAATACCAGCATGCCAGATAACACCCGTAGGAGGCTCAAATATTAAAATCTAGAAGGGATGCAGCTGGGCACTCCTCTCCCTCATTCAACATCCCGAAAGCATCCCCACTGTTTGTTGGTATCTTTGACAGGTATGAGTTGAAAAATATTTTTTTTTTTTAAATAAAACATAATTATTTCACACTTAATCCAGTTAAAATAAAAGTGTTCCAAATACATTCTAATTAATCTGCTGGGTATTTTCCTAGAGTCCTCTGCTGTGAAGTGATATCTCATATTTGGAGAGATTCTCTTCATTAACACCTGATACACATTTCATGGAGTCCTTGATAAAGTGACCATAAATCTTTTGTGATGAAGGACGTCTCCTCGTAAATCGTTAGGTTGTGCCTCCATTAAACTCAGTAGGATCTTGAATTACTTCAGCAAGTTTAAATATTTTCTTCATCGACCAATAATTTCTTGTAGTTAGTTTTAAGATAATAATTTAACTGAACTTTAATTATAGGGACCTGGCTTTAATTATAGGAAATTAAACAGGAGTTATTTCATAAGAGGTTTACGATTCTTCTTCAAATGTGTATTTAAATTACGATTTAGGCAGCTAGCAGAAAGGGCGCTGCAGGTGTTTCCTAAATTATTAAGGGTTTTAAGGGAACTCTCTAGACGGTCCTTAGAAAATTCCATACTTATGACTATACGGAATTTTAATCCTTTATTTTACCACTACACCATTAATAATAATCATTAAGAAGCATATTATAAAATTATGGTGAAATTCGAAAAATCCTGCTGAGCCATGGTAAATTGAAAACCTTTTCATTACAAAGGTTATAATATAATTAGTTATAATAAATATAAAGGTATATCAGAGGATTTTTTAAAGATAATCAATAATTCCGATCTCGCATAACCATTAATGGGCATAATGATAATCATCGATTACGATTACAGTAATTATGATTACGTTAATACGATTATAGTGATTCTGATTATATGATTACACGATTACAAATGTAATCAGTTTTCCGATTATATTTATTATGCTATTCAATCGTGTATAAAATTGGCGTGGTCATTAAGTTTTATTTTCAGTTGTGATCAAGTAGAGATTGACTCTGATTTTGCCCATCTCTACTCACAAATGATCTCTAGATAAAATATGCTTGGCTTGGTGAGCGACATTATGAAAACATATCAGTGGGAATGGTATAAAAAGTAAATTTTGTAAGCCATGGGCTTTTGATATCTATCCAATTTCAAGTCTCAATGACTTCTATAAATATGGAAGGGAAGAAGTGATACTCATAAGGCGACATGAGATTCGGAAATGATACATCTTAGGCGATTACCCGGGTTGACAAAGCCTTTTTTATTTAATAAAAAATCATTATTACCCACAACGCACACACAAAAAAAGTTATTCCTTAAAAATAAAGCCTTATTCAGTTCAAAATTTCGATCCACTCTCAGAAAACGAGATCTCGTGTATCAGACATTTATACCTCTTCCCACAGAACCAAAACCTTCAAACGTTCCTTTCTTGTCCGCTCCACTACTCCCTGGAATTCCTTAACCGCTTATGGCCGAATATCCGCCATATCTTCCCTTTCTCATTTACATCCTTTCTTTTCCATTACCTTCTCAAATCCCAACTTCGTTTTTTTGACGCTCACAAATTTTTAATTTTTAATTTAAAAAACAAATTTTAATTTGGAGTGAATGATAATTTCATTATTTAAGTTTTAACTCTAAGATCGAGATACATCATTCCTTATCAAACTATTGTGATTGATTCAAGCCAGGGAAGAGTCACGAGTTCGCCTCCCGGTGCCGAGGAAGTCTTTTAAATCCAGCTCACGCCCTCTGGCCTGGGAAAAAACTATACAGCATTAACGGCGAGGAAGGGGAGAACCAAATAAAAAAAAATTATTTATCTTATACCTTTTGATGCCATATTTTTTAAAAATTATTATTATAATCGCACAATACGCTATATTTAATGTCAATAAGTATTATAAATATGAGTATCTAAAAAATATGGCAGACAATGGCATGGCTCAGTGAGCTTAGGGACTTGAGGACAACTTCATTCAGAAGGATCTCAGTCAATTTCCTTTCACAAAACTTCCAAACACGAGGTGACAACATCGTTTAACACACTTAGTTCCATCTCTTGTCTTCGCCTCGTAGCTTTGAGGCTTTTCTCAGTTCCTTACCGTGTTAATTATCTGTTAAATATTTATTGATATCTTATCTGGGGGCATTCCTCAGTTTTAATTTCCTTAACATAATAATTCTGATTTGATTTAAAGGGAGACCAGACCTGATGTTCCGTGGACAGAAGAAGTTGCCTGGATGTATCTTCGAAGGGATTAAATATTTTATGAAATATCCTATCCTTAAGAAGAATATAGGTCGATCCATCATGCTTGATATCACAGACTTGTAGATTTTATTTTGCATGTTTCTGGAAAGAATCTGCAAATTAAAAGTTTATCTGCAAGTTTATTTATTTTATCTGCTAGATTTGTGAAATAGTAGATCAGTATACACGACCATATCACCAAAGTCTTCCTAAGTTCTACTATAAGACGTAAAACTCATTTACAAATATACAGAGTCGGGATGATCGGACTAAATTGCAAGAGTAGATTGCACACTGAAAAATAATTAAAAAAAAAAAAAACTATGTTTTTATACGATTTTCATTTGTTTGGCTAATTATAAATAAACAATAATTCGTACATGTATTAGCATTTCGGTAATCGAAGTATTATTTTAATTAATGTTTGAAGATATCACTATTGTTAACTTCTAAACAATTTCGGCTTCCTCTTCGAAAGGCGACGATTGTCCTCCTGATTGCCTGATATATTTATTTAATGAAGCCTGCAGCAGTTTTAATACGTTGAATAAGTTTAATACGTTAGTGCATCCTGAATTAGTGTCTACTCTTAGTTCGTATACCTCATTTTCGAACCAGCCCCATAAACAATAATACAATACTGTGAGGTCTAGAGATCTTGGAACCAGCCAACTAATTGGATTGCCGCTATCAAGCCAACGATCCATTTAACGATGCGCGGTGCTGTGTACACGCATAAGCCAACTTGGCCACCCCGCCCCTATTTTTAATTAGCGATTTAAATTTAAACAAAAGAAAATCGTATGAGTTTTTAAAATTATTTTCCTATGTTTAATCCACCCTGGAGTTACGTGAGTTCCTCCCAAATCACTGTGTGTCTTTTCTCGAAACAGCGTCGTTTCAATTCCCATCTGAGCCTGATAAAATTTATTTCCCGACGGTTGTACGTAATAAATCTCGGTATTCACGCATTACTTATAAAAGAACAGACAAATTTGCAAGAGCAGACAAAGATGAATCAAAAAGATTTATGATGATGCCAAAGAGGAGAAGTGGGGCTAATGGCGTAGCTCTGTTGTAAATGCCTAATTCGACAGAGAGAGCAACAATAACAGAGCCTGCCTAATGGCGACCGAACAATAAGAAAGAAACAACTGTTTTCTTTTTTTATTCCTTTTAATCTAGCGGCCACCATCGGCCTTGGAAATTAAAAATTACGGAAGCTTCAATGAATCTCGCTCTCTTTGTCCGCCTCTACATCCATGATTTCAAAATCTGATGAAAAATACGAGTCTGTATTCTTTTTACTTTCTTTTTTTTTTTTTTTTTTTTTTTTTCCCTTGCCATGTAGAAGCTTAGATCGTTGAGTGAACGCCTCCCTTTAAAATAGTCAGAGTCTGCCTTCGTTTGTATTTACCTAAGCCAGAGCTTACTTTGATGTGTATCTTCGTCGGTGACTCTACGTTATTTAGCTGCCTGCTGAATTAAGAAGAGATTCACCTCCAACACTAAAATCAGGCCTGGTTATTTTTTTTTATCATGGAATCAAATTTTTTATAATAGAACACCGCGAAAGACGTTTCACCATAAATTTCCCAGCGAGAATCACCTCTTCATTTTTTTTTTTTTTTTTTTTTTGGAACGAAAATAGTTATAATTAATTTCAAATTTACATTATATTTATTTGTTCCAAATTTTATAAATTTCAATTGTTGTTTTTTTCTCAAATAACTAATCTTCCCCTTTTTTTCTATATTAATATTATTAATTTTTTCCTGAGAAAAATTTCTTTATTATTTACATATATACATATGTTTATAATTGTTTTTATAGTTTATAGATCATTATAATTTATTATTTTATATAGTTTAGGTTAATTGTACGTTATAATCTCGTGATTCATAATTAAATTAATATATTGTTTTGTTTTCCAATTACTTTGTCTTTTTTTTTCTCTTTCTCATTTTTTCTCTTATTTATTTTGATTCAAGAGTTCAAATGACTGGAACTTATTGTAACGTGGTTGAGACTATGTTCGTATATTTTAAAACAGTGCTCTCCCCCATCATAGTACTTGGTGAGTATCAGCTAGATTGCAATACAAATTCTGACATTCATAAAATATTGTGAAATAAATGAAATATCCCTGTGTTTCGTATTCATTGCTAAGATACATCCGACTGAGGCAAAGCAGTGTTAAAAGATGGTGTAAAAGGGTTTAAGACCGTTCATACATAATTCCCGAAACCCTTCCTTTTATTTTATTGGTTCGAACCTTTATTCTGTATTCAAACGGCCTCTAAGGTGAAGTGGATACGTTTTAGGAAAAATCTCTTCAAGGGAAATGTGTAAGAGTCTCGTGAATCAAAATAATGACTGTAAACAATAAAAAAATAACAGCATTGGGTGATTAATATTTCAAAAAATTGCCAACACCATATGAATAAGGTCATTTATTTATGTTATATGTAACGTAAAATAGTTGGAAACACTTATTTATAAACAGATGGTGATACAGCATAAGAGATATTAATAAGTTTCTATAAATTTATAGATCTCCCGCTTTTTTCAAAAAGCAATATTCAACATATATAGATAGGATGGTCCGGATATTTTTTCTAGCGTCGCTTACACCTCATCACGACGTTGAGGCTGCGACGATAGATGGAAAAAAATTCAAGGACAGGTATAGTAAAGATTAGGTTCAGACTGTCACGTAAAGAAATAAAACAGACGTTAAATCCTTCATAAAGTGTTATTTTTATACGTTTCGATTTTTACTGGTAAACAGTAGCAAGGCAATAAGACTGCCAAAGGAAAAAAAATTATATATATGTATATATATATATATATATATATATATATATATATATATATATATATATATATCAAATAAACTGGTTCTAGGTGAGAAGAAATGCAATTTACCATGATAAACAATTGGGTACAATCAATTGGTTAAACTACCTAAATAGATGTAAGTAAATGATATAATTTATAAACAAATTTAAATTTTAAATATCTATAAATTACTATTCATGCTAACATAAAAATAGAAAGTAATATATTGGGTAGCCAACTACCAAACTTTGATCAAAGCCAGCCAACAAATAATAGAGGACCCAAAAATCAATTTCATGACAAATACAAATTACGAAGAGGCTGAAAATATGTAAGATGAGAGACCTGCTGTTATTTTCTTTTACCTAGAATAGTTCCATATGTAAAATAGATATCGCTGAAGCAAAATCAGGCATTTGGGTCACAATTTTGATAACAGACCCTCAAGTAACTAAATATTATGACAGTACCTACCTTCAACGTGATTGATATATTTATAATAATGTTAGGATGGAAAAATTGGAGGGAAGCGATACAGAGGTCAAGTTGCTCGGAGTAAGAGATGGAGGACGCGAGCAAGAGACAGAAATGACTGGCTTGGAGTCCTTGAGGAGGCGCAGGTCCATGTAGGACCATAGCGCCCAGCAGTAAGTAAGTAATTGTTAGGATAATCAGTTGAATCATTTTTCAGAAGGGTAATATTAATCAGAACTAAGTATATAAAATATTATTAATAAAAAAATTTATAAAAACAGTATAAAGAAAATAATATCTAATTAAAGTACATCAAAATACTGATACATATCTCTACCACGAAGAGTAAATCTCTCTATTATGCAAAAAAAAGTTTTTAGTGGCTCATTTTTTATTTTATTTCAGTATTTGGAGAGCAGGAGATTAGAGGAGCTCTCCTATTACCCCTATAATTATCACTAACTATACAGTTGTTCATTTAATTACATAGTTACATGAGCTCCTGTAAACTCCTATCATCCTAATACAAAATAGAGATTTTAGACCCAAAATTTGTACGAAAAATAGTATTTGAAGGTGGTGGTAGTCAGATTTTACAAAGGTGACAGCAGTAATTTTTCAATCTAGACATTTTTCCTTGAATACATTATATTAATTATTAATTATAATAAATATTATTTATATTATATTGTAATATAGTTATAATTATTATGAAATAGAAAAGAAAACACGATATAACGTACAGTGAAAATATTAGAAATAAAAGGCTCAAATCGATGTTGGGCTTTAAATTGAAACTGGACAAGTTGAAAATATATTATGGGTACAATTGGAAGTACGAATAATTATAATTATATAATGTTAATTGGCAATAAGGTGTGATGTATAACGTAGATTTTTAAAGAAATTAAAAAAAAGTCCGAACTGTGGTTTCATTCAGTTTATTTTATGTTGATAAAAAATAAAACAATCTGAACAACAGAATATATGTAAATTACAGTTATACAGTTTGAGCACCGGTAGTACAATTAAATGAATATCTGTATAATTTGTAAAATGGAGATTTGTCCGCCGTTAGGCAGACAGGGGGTACCCACCTAGTTATACAATAATCAAAGAATAGAATTAAAACGGTTTTTTACTTATTCATCAATAACAAGTTAAATAATTAACATAATTTCATAAAATTATGAAAACCTTAAAAATATATATAATATACTAAAGCATTTATGGAAATATAAATATGTTGGCATTGAGAAGTGATTTCCCCCACCACCCTCTTGTATACAAAGGACATCAATAGTATATACTCTAGGATCACTTCCCATAGACCCCTTGAATTGGAGAGGGCATCAGGACACTTAGAGGAGGAAGCTCCTTGAATTGACTTAGAGCTAGTAGGCTGATTAGTCTTTCCCCTTAAAACATAATAATTATATATATATATATTATATATATATAATTATTATGTAATATATATAATTATATATATATATATATATATATATATATATATATATATATATATATATATATATATATATATATATATATATATATATATATCAAATCGGAGGCATTCTTCTAGTAAGTGCTTTACTGTTGAAAATAGATTATTACATTTTTCACACCTGGGTACTTAGAAGATAACCACCATGAGTAAGCTGGAAGTATCCAATCCTAAGAAGGCACCGCATAACTTCTTCTTTCCTCTAACCTCTAGAGCTAATAAGCCATTTACCACAATTAGGTTTCACTTCTGTCAGTTTACATGCTTTGCTTTTCCATTCAATCTCTAAATATTTTAGTTTTGTTTTCTTTGTTTGGTGTACCCAGTCTTCAAAGGTTACCTCTTCCAATTTAGTCACTTCCATTTCTTCTGCACTTCTAGTTAAATGGGCTGCATGATCAGCTTTTTCATTTCTTAAAATGCCAGAGTGGGCTAGTACCCAAACAAAGACTACTGACATACCCTAATTTTTTGTCTCCCACATGTTCATTATTTCTTTAATTATAAAATTGCTTTGGTCTGAATTGTCAATGGCAGCTAAAACATTCCACCAGTGTTCATTATCACATTGTAAATATTTATTATGTACGATATGTACTATACATCAATATATACATTTATGAATTTATAAATATGTAATTCTGAAATCTGAAGAATAATACTCAGCTACCTGTTTAACTGTCTTTTTATAACTGATCCCATACAAACATAAAATGTTTCTGCTATGATAATAACGTAAACCAGGTATGGAACATCCTTTCTCAGGCAACTTGAATGACATTAGTCAAACTTTCCATATTAAATGAATTAATATTAAATTCATTTCATTTCCATATTTTTTTGACATTTGGTTCAGAAATGTTTAAATATACCTTCATTTGCATGAATACGTCACACTTAAATTTGAAGAATAACTTAATTTAACGAATGAAAGTGGACTGAATTTTATCAAAGAATTTAACGGTTTTAATTCTGTATTCGATGATACTTACTACATTGTGTTTAAATACTTGAAGGATCATGACTATGAGAAAGTGATTGATTATACTAATGAAAGCTTTCTTGTATTTTTTAAAAGTTATTTAAAGTCTCAGCCGATTTAAATATCAGACCATTCGGCTCCTGGCAGCCCAATACAATTTTGCCATATTGGAATTCTCCAATTTCTTGCTTTCTCTGCTAGTGTCTATGCCCATCCTATCAGGAAGATTTTTACTGACAGAGTGGAGCACAATGGGAGGTGCAGGTCGTACTTCTCATGCTCCCGGCACAGAGGGTACGCAGGACTTTCCATGACTCCAATCCTATGCAAATTCCTTTGCAGGCAATCATGTCTTTTCATCATGTGGGAACTCGCCACCGATACGTTTCTACTGTGTAGTTCATTTGTCAGTCTCTCTGTTAAACAATTCCTATTTTCTCTGCTACCTGTTGTTTTTACCAATTCTTAACCTTTCCCTTGTAGAAGGACTTTAAAATCTTTTTAACAGATTTGTAGGATAGGGGAAGAGTAGTTTGCAGCATTTCCAAGACCGCAATGGCTTGGAACTCATTGAATGTCAATCTGATTCCTCTTTAAATTAAATTATCAATACGATCCGGCTGCTGCCATCAGGATGATACAAGTTTTCTTGTAATCATTGAAAGTAAATCAGTGGCTCTCTCATCTTCTTGCTGTTTTCCTGTAGCTATATAAACTTAGCACATCATTATGTTCCTCAAAATCAAAATCTTGAGTGCTCTCAGTCTAAAAACCAACATGGAAGTGAGCTGGTATTACTTATCGGCTCCAGAAAAATATCTGTCATATTTATATTTCTAGAGATATCAGTAAAAAAGAGAAGTGCTCAAGATGATGAGATCATTGATGTTCCATGAACAATATCAGACCTATTTTAGCCAGGGCAAGATCAAAATTCATTTAGTTGTTTCGCAATGAAATAATGAAATAATTTTCAAACACAAGTTCAGATTCGAATCTTCACCACATTCAACTAAAGGTTACTAAGAAGGGGTCATAACAGATTCATTACCAAGGTCTCCAATTAAAATATAAAATGTTGCGAAACAATCGGAAAATATTAAAATTAATATCATACAAAATTTTAAGTATGCAATTGGATTTCTTCAATAGATAGATGTTTGATTGATCATTACACGCTTAATTACTTATCATCTGGAGTTAGCTGCACAAAATATAATAGAATAATTTGGGTCATCATCAAAACATTACTTTTAGACTCGTATGAGAATATTGCTGATAACGAACATGTTATTTACATTAATTATTGAGAATGTAAGGACAATTGCTATAATAATTACTCTAGGTTTGTCTTAATATAATATTATTTTAGAAAGTCATAACTAATAATTGGTAAACAGACAACCAAAATAAAATAAAAAAGTTTCTTTCATTAATTTTCAATGTAACAGGAGTTAAAAATAATGAACTGGTATCAGTTCAATTTCATCTAATTATGTATTGTCTCTTTCTGTATGAAATTGTTAACCTATTAAATAACTTGGAATGGACTTCAATTCCAATAAATATCATACTAAATTATAATAACTAAAAGCAGCTGTAACCATAGGTGCAGATTTCGGAGTGCAGACCCCCAATTAAAATATTGAGAGGGCAAGAATATTGTTTCACACTCCTAATAATTTGAAGTAAAAAAATTAAAATTGAAAAAATAAGAAGACACGAATGACTGATATATGTGAACTAAAGTAGATTAAGAATATAAGAAAAGTCGACTAGCTGGATATCCTAAGGTCTACAAGTAGGTTTGCAATTATTTTATCACGAAATAATATTTCTATTATTTAAGTTTTTATTTATTCAGCCATAATAGTATAGAAACATATCCTAGGATTTTGTAGATACTTCACTCGTAGATGCTCTTCATATATCCTTACCATAGTGGACACCTCCAATATGATGTGATTTTATTATTAATTTTTTACGATAAAGTTAGAAAAATATATTTAATAATTACAATTATAAAAATATTTTATAGATAATGGTTTTATTGACATTTTTACTTAATTATTTAGACTTTGAAAACATTGTATTTGTATTTAAAGTTGTGCAAACTAAGAATTCAAAAATATTTTTCATTTTTAGTTGGAAAAGTTATAGAAATATACCTTCATTATGAAGGCTGTCTCCCATTTGTTTCATAATATTTATATTTAGTTTCAAACATAATAGAAACTATCATCTTTTTTTTTTTTTTCCATTACTCTCTTCCCCTCTCGGTCAAAACCGAAAGTCGGCGCTTATGGCTGTGACTGTTTAAGAAATACATTTGAAGATATTCTTTGAGTTTCAAAGGAAATCTCAGAGAGATTGTTAGTGCATTCTATTGATTATATTGCAAGGTTATATTGCATTCAATTGTGCAGTTGATAATATTTCCCATTATGAAAGAAACAGAGAGCTCAGTGAGACAATATAAACAATCATGTTACCATAAAACTTCATAAAATAAAATAATAAAAATGAAATTAATCATTAATTGATTGCTATGATTTTTTTTTCAGGGCCGAATCTGTTTTTATTTAATTCCAATGAAAAAGCTAAAAGAGCAAACTTGCAAAGCCGGTATGCAAACTAAACTGCTATAATAATACAACATAAAAG